CTCACACACACACACACACACACACACACACACACACACACACACACACACACACACACACACACACACACACACACACACACACACACACACACGCACATATACACACACACTCTTCCCCTCTCTCTCTTTCACGTACACACCAGAAAATCACATGCACGCACACATTGGATAGGATAGATTGTTAATCCAGTATAAACCCTGAGGAAACACATTTTTCAATATGAGTTTAATGTTTCACAGCAATTTTGAACAATCTTTTGGCAATATTAGGTGGCAGCTTAGCTTTCATGCGAGCACGGGGGGAAGAGGGTGTGAGGGAAGTTACAACTTACAACCCCCCCTTTGTAATTTCCCTATTTTTATGGCTTTGCTGCTTTGTAAGGCTAATGAAAGAGATAAGACAAATGTAGAGAAATACATTTATATCCATGTGTTTTGGGAAATAAAGTAGATTTCAAAGACTGCCCCTGTTGACTTATAATTCCCAAATATTACTAATGAATTGTGTCCGTGTCTGGCTGAACATGCAACAACGAAAAGAAAGTAGTTGTCAAAAGTACAAAATTGATTTGGTCCATCACACAGAACATGTGTCAGTAACATGTTTTTGCTCTGAGGTCATTTCTGCTCACAGATTGAAGGGAACTGATGGCAGGCAAACGCCTCGCTGTGATGCTTCTGCAGCCTCTCACAAGTTGCTACTGTAACAGTTCTGACTCTGCGAGGAGGAGAGAAGATGCATATTTCTCCTGAGGTTTTCTTCATTAAGGATGACTGGAGTGCAGTTGTATGCATTTAGTAGGCGTTGTGGTAACTCCAATGTGTCTTCAGGCCACAGACCCAAAGAGACCTGCTCTCAGAAATATCATTACCTCGTTAAATCACTCTCAAATCATATCCATATTCAAAGTTTTACCCACCGCCAATACAGCCATGTTGAATACTGTTTGTTTAGTAGCCTTCCCCTAAAGCATTTATTACTAGCTCAATAATGATTAGGCGCATCCATTCTAAAATGGGGGACGTTGCCAGTTAACCTTAGTGCCCACTTGAATTGCTGTGGTATGTTTTTCAATTTCACTTCTTTCTGCCGTGATTTGAAGGAAAATGTGTGAGGCAGCAGCATGGGATTGTGGAGGGAGGCAGGTGTAGATGATATTGGTTGTACAGTCTCCAACATATGGGCCTGTCGTGTCCCATGTGTACGTACCTGCCTCCGCTGCTGTCATCTAATTATGCAGAGCAAACAAAGCTATCTGCCTGCTGCTACAAGCCCGCTTCTGAGGGTTTTGATTGTTACTCATCAGATGGATGTCTTCAACTGATTAAGACATTGTCACAACGACCTGTATAAAATCACCAAAACCTACTTTCAATTAAGCCATTACTGCTATTGTTTCTGCCAATCTGTGTCATTTTGTGGTTTCGCGTTACCTTAGAGATAAGTGTGCCTGTAGAGATGAAATGCTAAAAGGAGGGGGAGGTAATTCAAGATGACTGCATTAATTTGATCTCATATATTGCTCTTGGGTTGGTAAAGAAAGACAAATATTATTTCCATAAAGTAGGTTATCTTTGAGCTAATATTACTTTCAGTAACACAAATTTAGAGTGACTTTTACTACCCTCCGGCTTTGAATCAGTTAATTTAACTAATACTTAACCATTTAGTCACTTTTATCTCATGACACAGATGTTGCTTGATTGTAGAAGTAATTCCATTGATCACTAACACTTTCAAGACATTTAGAGACAGCTTTTGTTTCTGAGTATTTTACACTGTTTCTTGTTAATGTATGATAAAACTGCAGCCTTTGTTCTTTTACTACAACCACATTTCTAGTAGCTCTTTAAAACTTTCACTCCGCCACCATGGTAACATGACGAGGTGACTCCTTTTCAAAATCACCTTCCTCTTGTTTTATGTGTTCAGAGAATTCGCTAGGATTTCTGTGTTTCTTCTCTCCTTTTACATTTGAACATCAATCAAAAAGAAGCTTTCTCACCTTGAAATTGGTATTTCGTCTTATTGAATCCAGTACCAAAACTGAAATAATATAGTTCAAGCTGGCATTACAAAATCACATGTTGAGCTCTACGGGGTTGATTGACACTAATTGAATTTCAGCAGCCAAGAAAAATATGTCGGTGTAACTACAGAGTAAAAACAATAAAAATGTAACTTCAGACTTTAAAGATTTTAAAGATTTTAAATATTTCCGCTTTGTCCCCCTGCAGGAGTATGTGAGCAGAGTGGCGATCTGAGTCTGTGCGGCATGGTTGATGCTGCCCTCCCTCCATCCTCCCCCCCTCCTGCCGCAGAGACGTCACAGCAGGCCGGCCCCACACACCAAAGGACCACGCCTGCATCGCCAACCCTCTCCCTGCCCCTCGACTCTGACCCCTCTTTGGGCCTGACAGTGGCCCCCTGCCCTCCCTCCGATGATGCTCCAACTGTAGTCCCCCTCCTTCAGCACACTCCCGCTCCCACACCACTTCCTTCCCCAGCTGTAAGCTCCTGGGGCCCAACAGAAGACGGCCAGAAGACTTCCCTTCTGCTGCCTGTCGCCCTCCCTCTGTCAGTCACCACAATGATGGAGCCTGGCACTGTGTCTGCACTGACAGAGGAGTGTCTTCTTCAGCCCACCCGCACCTGCCTCGGCTGCTTCATCGAGACCCGTGATGCTACTGACCCTAATTCCATACAAAACCCGCCTCATGACCCCAGCACCAACCCCGACACAGAGACTGGGCTCAGTGTGAGGATAGGCGATGTGAGCCGAGAGGACTTCTCTGACATCAACAACATCAGCATCCAGTGCCTGAGCCATGCGGGGGAGGCAGTGAGTCACTATGGAGAACAGCTCCTCTCTGACCAGCTACTTAGCTTTCCTCTGCCGAAAGGTGAGGGCAAGAGAGCTGATGGAAACAAAACAACGGAAGACTGTGATGACCCGGAGGATGACGCAACAGCTAAGAACTTGTATGAGGGATTGTTACTGGACAAAGTGAGCGGAGAGGAGGTTCTGCTGGCTAACGCCGGCCAGGACTGGGGCTACTTTGAATCCTTCATCAGTGAGAGTAAGATGGAGCTGCTGGACCTTTGTTCAAAGAATGAACTGTCAGTCAACCTCTTCTCGGAGGAAGACGTAGACAATCTATTTGACGATGAAGACGATGATTCAACG